ATATTACGAAGTTATATGCTTGTCATTTATATGCACTCATTTACACATACTCACTCACTCACATGCTCACTCCTCACTCACTTGCTGTAACTAACAGAATCTATGTAGGAGTGCACTCCAATAAGCCGCCCTATAATGGCATTCACTGACTCAAGCAGTTCATAGATCTTCTTTATCTAATGACTAAGCGCTTCAAAAGTTCAAGTTTGGTCCAATGGCTGTGACTGTTACTGGAAACTTACCGTATTGATTTACAACGTTTAGAAGGATGTCATGTAGGTCAAAGGTCAATCTAAGCAAGGGAGGAGAATCAATGTTTTTCATCAATGGTGATGAATTTTGTAAAGAAATATAATTCCTTTCTGGCTAACCATGCCGAGCATGTTTACTCGTCTCTTTAGCTTTACTGTACATTTTCTTCAATTGGAATTTTAGGAGTGTGACGATCTTATATCTTTGAGATTCATCGTATCTTATATGCAGTTGGGGGATACACATGGGATGGGACATATTAACAAAGTCTGACGAAGTCAGGAAAAAAAACTGTCCGATTGTCGAAAGATTATCTAATAGCTTGACCAACAAAAATACAACGGTACACAAATAAGTTAACTAAAGCTTTTTGTGAAGATAGGTTGCGAATTTCATACATCTCCATACGTTCCCAATAAGAAAGCTTTCTTTCACGATGTCAGTATTAACGTTTTGAGTAAAGGGTGTGGATTAGATTCGAGTGTGGTAGAACACAGACGCCCCATTGTTCCCGGTGATGATATCTGCCTGTGTAACACGGCTGGGTACAACATGACCAGACAGGTCCGGTACAGGTAACCTCACTCTGCCGTCACCTGCCATGTGTCATGACGCGCCGCAACGCTTGAGTCTACGGAATAATCACCCTCCTATTGTTCCACACACATTCCAACAGAAAACTTCTCAATATCTACCAATACGACATGAAGACTTCCTGGATTGCTGTTGGAATACTCAGTTCGCATCCACTTCCTTTCGGATGAAATAATCGCTCATATCAGGAACATTACGCGTGTTAAATGATAGAGCGACTGCGTAAAGTGCTGGCTCAGCCAGCTGTGAGGAAATGACTAAACGTGGTGCGGTGACCTCTGACATGAAGCTTGTCATTCTCGGGATTGTTTTGAGGCAGCACCTGCTTGTTCAACCTCGTGACTATCATCATAAAATACAACTTTAACGTCAGAGAAAGGTCGAGCAGAGACGGGTGACAGAAAAGTTTACCGGTGCTGTTAATCAAGACTTAGTGATGTGCGTTGACCTGGCACTGGGTACGAATTGTGCAGAATACAGATGTCCATTTCCACACGACCGTATTGTGTACTCCCTCTCTCTCTCTCTTTTCCCCCTCCTCCCCCCATCCCTCTCTCTTTCTCTCTCTCTCTCCTCTCTCTACTTCTACAACCAAAAACAATAAGAACTATTTTAATCTCCAAGCAGATCCCAGAGGTGGACAAAAGACAGTAATAAAATTGGGCAGGCAGTATCCGGCATCTGACCAAAGAGGCGTATTAGACCCTCTCTGGCCAATGGATACTGTCTGGCCAATTTGATACCGTCTTTTGCCGCCCTAGGATCTGCTTGGAGATTACAAACATTCATCTTTAAAGGCTTTGGTAACAAAATACGTGAAGCCCATTGCTTCATTTTTTTCTGATCATCAGTCGTCCCAAGAATAATGGGAGTGTTCATACTGGGTACTTGGTATCGAATCTAAACTCTAACAATGATACGTAACACTATCAACAAACACCAGGCATACTTTGTTCTTGAGACATACCACAACCAACACGACCAGTTCCGTAAAAGAAATTGCTTTCTACATTCTTAATTAGATTACACTCCCAAACTTAATGGACTGCCCAAAATGTAGGCTGGGCTACTTGTGTCAGCTGTCGGATATTGAGAATCATTATCACCTGTATGCATATATTAAAAAAGAATATTCTGTCGCGAGGACGCCGGTCTGTTGCATGAACGTTTCCATGAGAAAGATCAGTTTTCTCCTTGTGAATTTTGGTTTGGCCAATCTTTGACAAGTTGTAGTGCCCGCTATCTAAGCCCGCTTTTCGTAAACCTCTTGTCATCTACCTACAACATGCGTGACCATGTATAATGTCCTTGATCCAACCTATGGGAAATGTCCACCACTCATAGCCCCCGGACTCGGTAAGGATATTTAGATTTACTACTTTTTCACACATGCACGCATGTAATAGCTATAACGGGTGGTTAGCATCAGATCTATACTTGCAATAAGTCCAAGTATTGTTGTTTACAGAGTTTGTATGATGCTGCATAGTACCTGTGCCCTGCAGTACCCCTATGTGACACTGGGGCGCTCTTTAACCCTTAGAGCAGAGGTTTTGCGCCATGTCGTAATCTCAGTGCAGCATGCCTACCTGCCTGCCTACCTGCCTAAGTGCCCAGGCCAGGTACTGGCCCCTTGCTTCCCTCCGTCAGGTTCCTCCAACCAGTTCTGTCAAGAGCGATAGCCTCAGCTACACTTAGAGTAATCCCTGTGTCACTCTGGATCTGATCTTTCCACCTCTTGGGTGGTCTTCCCCGGGGTCTAGGGTTTTGGAAGTCCTGGTGGTATGCCTTATAAACTAGGGTGTTTGTCGGTCTTCGCATCACATGCCCAAACCATCTGAGCCTTCTAGTGCGTATCCTATCAGTGATGGTTTGTTCCGCCCCAAGTCTTGACCGGATTTCTGCATTTGGGATGCGGTCCCTCAGGGTGATGCAGAGTATCACTCTTAAGCATCTCATTTCAAAGGATAGCAGTAGAAGTTCGTCCGATTTTGCAGCATTGCCAAGACGAAATCTTACGTTTTTCGAGTGTTGAATGATAAAAGTTAGTGTCGAATATATTGCTTTAAATTAGCAACAGTAATTCAAAATCATGCAAATCGCCATATATTTCTGGTATATTGCATGATGTACAACGTAATTACGTTACTGCGATCCAAGGTTGTGATTTGTTTTCCAAGCGTTGTGTTCATACACTTACATTCATTCTTAACAGACTGTCCACAGTAAATACACCCCCCCTTCCATACTTCGTTCATCGTTCGACACAGGTTATATTTTGTCATTTTCTTAAAATTTTCTCGTCTGGCTCCTCCACAATTTGGAACAAAAGTAGCAGTTTCTTAGCTTGTGCTAATGCACATAATAATTGCCAAAAGTTACTGACGAGTCAACGCTTCGGGACCATATGAGATCCCAACCTCCTGCTAAAACATGAACATCAGATGTAGTTTTACAGTTTTCTTCAGGCGTCATCACATATTACTGAAAGTGATATTCAAAAAAGTTAACGTTGTTAAAAACTTTTATGAGCAAACAATTTTATGAGAAAAGTTTTTATTGGGCACTGCCTTGGTCGATTAATTTTTTCTCAGCCAACTTGTCGATGTTGTTGAGCATGTTCAGCCATTAATTACTAAGCCTCACAACATTTGATGAAGATTCAAGATAATCGCTGCATTAAAACGAACACGGGGAGGAAGAGGGTTTATATCTTCGTAAAAAGTTCTATTACAAGCATAAGTACTAGTAGCGCTATGCCTAGGCAGGAGTATACGTCCTTTTGGTGCCGTACCTCACATTTCTGCAGGTATAATTTTTTTTGCAATCTAATCTTAAAAATTGCTATCATGATTTCCAACAAAATACGATGGAAAGGTGTCAGGTATTTACACAATGCCCACGAATTGTTTGTTTCCTTAACTTGTTATTGTTTTCTGTTGTTTGTTTATCTTCTTAATCTTAATGTTGGGGATTGGAAAATATAGTAGTGAGGAAAAAACTGTGTGTGTTGTGAGGGAGGGGTGTGTGCTAATACTCATGGCAGTCGAACCGGCGAAGAATAATGCTGCATGCAAATGTGCAGAAATGTGACGCATCGTCTTGTGTGCGGGGTCAAGCTTTGATGGGACGTTCCACGGGCACGATGGATGTGTCGCCGGGAGCGCTGTGCCGGGATAATTACATTATATCTTTACGGAGTGCGACACCTCCTTCTGTGCATCGAACCACCGCCGGCGGTTAGTGATTCCGCGCACACGGCGCCGCCATCACACATTCAACAAGAGCACCTCGCGAACGGCCATTACAGCCGCTCTTGTGGCCGAGAAGTTGCTTACATGAAGGTGTACTGACAGTTAAGACACGCTGGGAAATGTGAAGAATTCCCAGGTAGGTTCGCCTGGGGGCCCGCGGGCCTTACAAACGGGACAATCGACAGAGGGGACAAAGGACTATCTGCCTCGCGGCTGTTTTAAAGTACAGGTCTTAAATTCGGGTGATCATCGGGGGATAACCGATATGGGGCTTTGCAAAATGCTTGTCACCGATTTTGTGGGGATAAGAAAATGCCAGAAGGAGTCCGGAGTGAGTTGTGTGAAATTATAACATCGATTTGATATAACTCATGAACAAAACTGTTTGGAGAGCTACTACTCTGCTACTGTATGTCTGCACATTTCAAGTTGAGTCAAAACTTCAAAAATGGTACAAGATTGACTCGCGTTCTGTAATAAATGTCTTCCCCAAAATACGGCACACAGGTATTACCTCAGCCACTGCTTTTCCACATGTGCCACAAGAAATGAAATTGTGGGATGCACAGGCTTTGTTTAGGACTGTCTAGTCCTGTTAGAAGACAACTCTGTCAGGATTAAGACCGGCACAAATAGGACTTTGTGTTCGGTGAATACGTGCTTAGTATTGAGCACTTATGTTAACCCAGGAAAAATTAACTCCCCCTGTGAATCGCCATCTTTACCGTGCCAGCACCGGCGTATTTATTCGTGTCGCATGGAAACGAAATTACCGAGCAACTAACGTGGATCTGTCTCCGTCTGCCGCAGTTGGAATCTATATTAGTCAACCTTGCTTGGGGAGGGAGGCACGGCACATAGAGCAAGAATATTTAACCACTGAATGATTCAAACACACAGAAAATTCCAAACATCCTGTCAGTCCCAGACGATTTATTTATTATACATATCATATATATATTTATGTAAATTTGACGACGGATGAATATCTTTTCAAAGAACATAATAAGTTTCAACATTTTTTTATAAATAGCTGTAAACAAAGATGTAGCCCAGCTGTGTGGTACACACACAAACCGACCGGTAGTTATCATATCATCATGGCCGCCACACGTACACACTACGGAAAAGAACCGGAACCGGACGTGACGTCAAACAATGTGAAGGTGTCTGTGGAAATAGTTCTTCTTCTGACAAAGATAAACAACGATATTAGTCTTCCCATCTTCCCGCCAGCACATCGAATATTTAATGGGATATACACACATATATATATTGCCCTTCATACCAATACAGCTTTGGCACCTTCCATTAATCGTTATAGAAAAACTTACAGTAACCCTTAGAAAGCAACATTCCACCAAAAAGGGCGCTCTTGGAGCACCGGAAAAGATAACACCTTGCAAACATCTATCATAGGCAGCTGACCCTCCTTTTAGGAGTTAGGTGCTGCTCAACCTACATCCCCAGCTACCCCGGATTGCCGTTATAACAAGTCTCAACTTCTTCACATCTACAGACACGGGATATTGTATCCATATATCCCACCGCTAAAAATACAAGGTTTTTCATCAAAAGTGAGTTTTCATGGCTCATCATAAACACGTTCAATAGACGATCCAGGAAAGCGCGTATATGAACACAATAGACAAAACAAAGAAAAATAAAAACAATAACAATGACTTTGCACCAAGAAAATACCATTGCACGATGGCCCCCGACTCCACTACCCGCCTGCTTTATACCGTAAGCGTACAAAATTATTGCTGGGTGTTAACAAACTGGCACGTTTTCCTTCCCCCAGGGTCCCAGAATATCGTCGACTTCACATCCAAATATAGAAGAGTGTTCCCCTGTTCCCTTTTTTTGGCGAGACAGGGCACCTTCAGGCGGTTGTTCTACTCAACATGCCTTATTGCTGTAAATATCATAAATATGTTATTGCTACAAGTCGAATCCGTCTGTTGTAATCAGTCTGTGTGGCTTCGTCTGTATACAGCATTGGAACGAATTGGGTGTCAAGTAGTATGCGTTTCCCTTATCTAACAAAAAGGTTGGTACGTGGAAAATAAATCCATAATTCCCACGGAAATCAGACCAATATGGCTAGATCTTTGGACAAGTCGACACCCTTTGTTATCCCCGGCACAGGGAATGGTCGATAAAATCACCCCACCAGTTTCTCTTCTCTATATAATTAGTTCCCCGTTCAAAAATCTCCCTATTCCATCACGTTTGAGAAATATAATTGCTCAGTCGTTTAGGGGTTTTCGTGGCTTGTAATTCGAAAATGTTGAAGTGGTTATGACGTTTTGTGGTTTCAAATTACATTAATAATTTAATTTCTCTTGCCGGAGGGGAAGAAGTGGCCGTGGGGAATATGGCAGGAAATGTTGATTAGACCCTCCAACATCCAGATGCAAGTTGTAGAGTCGTTTTAACATTCTGATATGTCGCTCTAATGCTTTTAGAGACAAGAGTCCTGGGTTCGATCCCTCTAGCCCTGTTCCACTTAATCACCCCATCCATTCCCTGATGTACTGATTTTTTAAGTCTATATACCTTGGCAACAAGGGCACAATAATAATTCTGATATAGTTTCCAAACGACAAAAAATTCCTATGTGTACATTTCCACCACCAACACAGAAGAGTTCATATGGCATCAATACACTGTCGCATAACCCCTAGATTTTCAGACACATGGCACTCTGTTTTTTGGCATGAAGGTCGGTAGAAAGAATGTTATATCTGTGCATTTCAAATGAGCATGTCCATATCATCACTGATCCAACCTACATCGGTTCAAAGTCAACAGTTCAAAAGTACAAGTCCGGAAAACTCGTAGCCAACAGTTTTTGGTTAACGGAACACCGCTCACTTGTATCTGATTGGACTGCTTGATTGTTGATCGTGATTGGCTGTTCATTTGCTGATTGAAGTTCTTTTTTCTTAATTCTCGTGTTCTATTGGCTGTGATGTGTGATTAGCAGGTAGAAGAAGGTCTGCCATTGGCTGTTTGGGGGTGGCAGGGTGGAGTCGTCAAATCATGTCATGGACATAAAGAAAGATGAAGAATCCTCGCATCATCGTCATCACTTCCCGTCCTCCATCTTGTCCGTGCCGTTCTTGGGCGCGTCCATGCTGTTTTGGTGCGCGCCTGTTGTGTTGTTGCCGCCCGAGGACGGGTAGGTCTTCTCTAAGTACTTCAGCATCTCCGTCAGGTAGTTCTGAAGGGCGGTGAAGGCTGCGCACAAGGCGGGGGTGCCGAAGCCGTGCGTGATCAGGCAGAAGTGCGTCAGGCAGCGCTGCAGGTTGGGATCCAGGATGGCCTGGGGCCGGTTGTTGCACAGCGGTGATCGGTCCTGAGCTAACAAGTCCTGAATCTCCTTCGTTATCTGTCTGTAAAACAAAAAAAAGAAAACAAACGTTAGATTACATCAACTCAAACTCACCTTGGTGCACACACTCTAGACTTTCGGCCTGGAAGACTGTAATGTATACGACAGTAGCTGACTTCTGTCGGCACTGCAGAATTTGCATTGTGCAATTCCTTTGCTTTCGCTATATCCAACAAAAACAAATACAGCAAAACTGTAGTAGAAACGCCGCCGACCAAAACTATGTATGGAGTGGGATAAACATTGCAGGTAAACAGGAACAACAGTAGCCTCAAGGCCTATCAACTCAAGCGAACCCTATAATTACTCATCCCACACGCGTCAAATCAAACATCAAGAAAAATGACTTTTGGCACAAGGTACAAAACTCTGATGTTTATCGACCGTGAGCTTTGATCAAATCTGTCACAGACGCGTTACACTTACAGTGGCGCAGGGAGGGTGGACACAGGAGAAAATTGGCTGACCTTTCGCGCAACCTTTAAAACTTTTCAACGGTCCAAGTCTTTGGGACCAAACTTTCCTAATAACTATTAAGGAATATCGCTGTGGAATAGGTGTTTCATGATCACAAAACGTTTTCGAGAAATGAAAATGATCTTATATCCATTGTAATATTTTTGTATCATCGGTCTTTTTTTTAAAACAAATCTCACTAACAAGGTAAGACGTTTTCGTGCGTTACACCACTTTGCCTTTGTACAGCTGCAGAGTACCGTCCCACCTGGCTTACATATACATCTCAACTTTTAATATGGGTCCATGCCTCGAAAATTCTAGCATTAAAATAAAGGCGTTTTGGTTACGAAATGCAGACACCTTCACCTCTAAATACTGAAATATGATAAAACCTCCGCCATACACGGGGATGTAATTTAGTATTTCTTGCCTATTGTTCTTAATAAAGCTATCTATCACCTTGCTATACCTCTGAGTGATACACTTTTCATGGTATCATAATTCCCACTCTTTCCGACGATTAAAGATGATCATAATTAAATCACTTAAAAACCAAGTTCGGCGGAGTGATATCTGAGTTAGCAGTAGGTGACACTTACTTGGTTGCGATGATCATTTGTTTCCTGGCGTGGACTTCACTGGGATCGTGTTGCCTAGCAACGAACTCTCCAACCTGTTTGGCGGGAAACTCCGTCTCGCATACGTAACCGAAGTCTCTCGCCAGATGTATCGCCTCACCTGTTTGTGTAAAAAATAATAGAATTAAGCCCGGAATATCTTTCTTTTCTGTTTATCGGTAACACAAGAGCCAATTGTCATTCAAGGCACACACCTAGGCTTAATTATCCTTGGCTGAAAAGAAATAAGAAATCCTCGAGTCTTTTTCTCGGGAATCGATAGCAAACTAATTATCTCCCGCTAATAAGATAATTTCTGAAGCGGAGATTCGATATCTGTCTGTGTTTATGCGCGATAGTGTTCAAGTGTTGAGATACCGGCAGATTTGTGCACAGAAGCGGGGTAGTTTGCACACCGGGTCGGCGTTCCCGGCGTTACCCAACATTATTCATGGATAATTGCTCTCCCTCCCTCCCTCTCTACATGCATCAGTGCAGGTATTGTTCAGCCAGGTACAGGAAACCTTCGCCCCGAAAAAAATAGGAGAAAAGAAATGGCCGTATTCATTCTCTGCTTTTGTTCCAACAGAGCCTCACTTATGGAGTCTATCGATAAGACCTGCGCGTTTCCCTGACCAACCTGCGCCTGAGCCAGCTACACAATAACGACCACGTAGATCGGCACAGATAACGCCGACAGACGGTCTAAGTCTGGCTGTTTATTTGATTTTTCTTCTTTCTACATTTCGCTCTGGTGGAGTGACTCACAAAGCCGATGCATATCTGCCGTGTTTCCCTGTTGAAGCAGCAACATACAGAGAACCGACCAGTCTAGTGTAGAATAAATCCCCTTTTGTTCGTCTGCAGTTTGCAGATTGACCCCTGGGTGATCTGGGCTTGCCTGATGAATATTAATCAGTTCCGCCTGGTGGACTGACCTTCGTAAGTTTTGCCTACACAGAAAGCCAGGCGATCCCTTCTTGGCCCCAAGTAAAAACAGGCCAGCCAGCGGCTTCACACGGAGTTCAGCACCGAGGAGAGCGGGCGGCCCGCCGGTGTGTCACCCGCCACGACCTGAATGGCCCTGCCTCTATTCATATTCAATGTCCGTGCAGTATATCGATAACACGTAATGACTCGAAACATGGCTTAACCATGGCTGTGTGCTGAAATAATGGTCGGACTCGGTCGGCGAAACAAACAGGGCTGCTATTACGGGTAATTGTTTGAAGGGCCCGAGATTGCGGGGAAATAATTCCCAATTATTATCTACCATAAGGCACGTCCCAGGCACATTGCTGACTAGAAATAAAAATGCAGTTTAAGCCGTGCTTCCCTTCCAGTAACTATCCTGCCATAGGCTCTCCCCCGAAGCTAGCTGGATCACACACATTATACTAGTACCCCGGAGCTGTGTAAGGTTTACGGGCAAAGCTTACAAGACTCGCTAAAAGGGTTCCGTACAATAGAGGCGGTCACAGATGTTGTTCTGGCAGGTGTCACAGCCTTTCTTGGTGTCCACACGCCCAGTTAACATTGATTATCGCACGCTTATCTGTCTCTCACGGCGTGTAATACAGCAGCACACGCGCACCCAGGTCCGGCCATCTTCCCCACACGGCTCTTAATTACGGTCTATTATCTTATAAATAGGCATGATCACCTCGGACGGATGCCTGGCATGTCGAATTTTGCGATGGTTGCACCAACAAACAGTTCAATATTTGATCCGAGTTGATGAAATATATCATGTGCGAGACATTTGAAAACAGAGATAACAGTTCACGAAAATAAGTTGAATATTGGATGGTTAATTTCTAAGTTCAATTTTGATGACCAATGAAAAAAATCGTTTTTGGTTACCGGTTCACCAAAAGGCCGTGACGATCGAGTCATGTTATGTTGTAGTGTCATGTTCTTATGCTATGGATGTGCTAAATAATTCATTCATTGTAAAATGAAAAATAGTACTCTTCTTTCTTTAGTCTTTTAGTTTTCACCGTGGCTCAGAGTCTTATTTTGAATTTCGAACATGAAGTATATTTGTGCTGTTTAACCAGCTACGCGTCTTCTATATGGATTTCTCGCAGGATTTCTCATGTTCACAAATATGTACGTACGTTCCACTGACGTGCAAACGGCACATGTATGCACACAGGTTAGTCTGGAGCCATCAAAAGAGATGTTTATAGCTCACATTGATCTCTACATAGCAGAAAGCGGTTTGCCAAAGTTCACGGCGGGATGAATTGACGCACGGCACTCTGAAAAACAAACGCCCAGCGGGGCTCGGCGCGTCGCGCTGATACATGGCGGATCTGGGAGGGTTTTCTGTGCGGCATTATCCACTCTTGACCCTCCGTGACCCCGCTCCAAGATGTTTGTTTGTCGTGTCCCCCTGCCTGATGGAGCCACGTTTAACCGCAGAAGTCTGGACAATGGAAGGAAGTCAAGTACGTAATTCGTAACTCGTACTGCACCTCCTGGGTATACCCAACCATTGTGGCACATGCAGCGGAAACACAAACAAACTGCACCTTGGGGTCCTGTATTATTAATACACCTTCCCGTCTAAAACGTTTTACTCTCTTATCTTCCCCGTCCCGACGTTGTGGCGGAAAAGTTGCGATTATTCCACTTGGTGTACACCATTATAAGCTCGGAGACGCAGTGACAGCATCACACACGGTCGCGCGGGGGATGCCAGTTTTGCCGCGGGCCTCGCTTGTTAAGAACAGTGCTGTAAAGAGAGAGAGCCGTCTCTTCTTTAGGGGTATTGGCTTACCAGACCAATTTACGTCTACCTCACAGGTACACAGCGCGCTGTTACATGTACACCACCCTAGGCTATGGGTATTCCTCGCTGCACATGTTCCTTTGCCCGGCGGATTGTTGTTGTTTAACACGTGTGATCAGTGGAGAGAGTGCCAAAGTACTGCTCTGGTGACAGTTGACTTAGAGTACACGGGACCAAAGACGAAATGGTACTGTAAAAACTCACATGGATACTGCGACATACATTTTAAAATATCCATCTTCTGAACCTCTCTGCAGCTGCTAAATACCATCACCAATGTTCACATTCAGCGAGTTTGAGCGGTAGATTATCTATCCATTTAGGCACGTTGTCCATCCACCTTTTTACATAAACGGTTATTTCGGGTTGCCTTTATTTCTTCTTGTCAACTTTGGAGTCGGATGATATTTTTACATGGAGTACACGAAATTCAATAAACAAGGAGAAATAGTACTGTATACAGGTTACTGTTGGTATCTAACCACTTTGTACCGTTTTCCTTTTACCACGAAGGTATCAGTATGATGTTTAGCAAATTTCGTTATAGAGTTGACAAATATCATTCTAAAAGAAGATCATTTTCCAAACTTTTACTAACTTTTACTCTCAAAGTTTGTCTCCGACAGTGTGTTCCATAATCATCACGATCTCATCTCATCTCCACCCTCCCGGAAATGATTACTGTTTCCCTTCTACCTGGAAATGAGATGTCCAAATCCCCCTGCCAGCTAATCTCAAAACCAGACAAATCTCAGGCGATCGGAAATATTCCACATACTCGACATCACCCCTCCCCGCCTCCCGCGAATATTTGTCGTGTGTTCTCCGCCAATGTTCGTCTGTCGTGGGTCCTCCCGGCGCCCATACCACGAATTGTGCAGACTAACAACCGACATACCCCAAGCCGACATAGACTTGTTAGGGCTGCAATTTCCTTTGCGCTTTTGACTGGTAAACAGGTAGACTTCCCATGTGTTATATAACATTCGCGTATGAGTGTATGTGGTACAAGTACTATTTTCCGCTTGCTATCTATAAAGTGTCCAATCCTACGTTAGGTTTTAATATCAAGGTTGTAAACTAAGGCACACGTTACGTGTGATTAGAAATTGACATTACCACCACGAAATTTTCAGGGACAAAATATAATGCCCAAATTGCACAACGGCTATATGAAAGGAACCTACTCTGAGTAGGTGACTGTATTGAAGTCTTCTACTTCTACTTCTACTTCTTATATTAGCAGTGCCAAAGTGTCCACCAACATAGTTTTATCTTGGGGTGCTGCGAATCAGATAATTAATAAAGAGAAGGCAGTGATTATGCAGACAGTTGTATCACTACTGTACTAGAGGTACGATACACTACAGTAGAAACGTTTTAGCTAAGAAAAAAATGCATACAGCGCATGTCCATCTTTGAAAATTCTCCCCTTTCGTTCGATGTCAACAGAACAGACAGTTGTAGTGTCTTGATCGATCCTGTCGGTGTTTATGTATGTGTTTCACTAGTTTATTGATTGATTGGTGTATTCAAGTTTTGTATGAAAATTTGGGCTTTGCGTGCTTGTATTACGTATTGTGTCGCCACCACGTCTTGTCATTGTATGTTTCAATAAAAAAAACTGAAAAAAAAACCAGACAGTTGCCACAGTTGCAGTGGTCCGACTTCTCACTATCCCCGACCTTCGACCCTCCCTCCCCTACCTTATTGTTTACACAGGAGAACACAAAGCGCATGATTGTCACTCGTGACAGCTCAGGTAAGATTTATAATGTAGAACTGTTGGTATTTGAATCACGATAATTACAGTGACACGATACGCTTGGGTTAGCTTTAAATAATTCCACAGACATTACATGTTGAGAGGGAGACTTCTGTTTTAAATCAAACTTTTTTGGTCAACACTTTATACTCGATAACCATGCCGTTTGGGACGGGGAATCTAGATCGAGAAAACATCCAATTTGAGGAAAAGTTGTAGGGACACTTGTATCCTTACATGAACTATGACCTTTCCTTCCCTCAGAGTTACACAAAGGCTACAACAATGAGGGGAGGACATTTTTTCCACACCTGCGCGCATTGATCGTTAAAATGCACCGCACCCAACAAAACTCGTTTCCTGCAACACAGAACTGTGTTTGTTTCTGTCGCTCATAGAAGTACACGCATCCAAGGTGAGTCTACCTGAAAACAGGTTGCTGATCCAAGAGGATATGAAAATCTGCCGTGGTTTGTATACAGAACTGCAGACCTTCTGTGAACTACGACAGAGCTATCGTCAACTTATTCACGTACGCAAAGTTTTATAAGCTACCTTAACTTTAAAATACAAAAAGGACGCTGCTTTAAAGTCCATCTGTACACGTATTCGTCCTTTGTAGGAACATAATTCACGTTGACGTAAATTTTACATCCCAATTTTCAGAATCGTTTCCCTAGGCAACATGCCTAACTTGATGTGGACTTAAATTGTCACTAACTTCAACAGACTGTGCCGTATTGAGTGACCGAAGTTTGCACCTCAAGCGACTGTTGAAAACGCGACCTCCGAGTATTTAGTGAATACGATTATAATGACAGCCAGCCTCAGGCGAGGTGACCAACCTGTCACTCTACCCGCTAATCGATCAAAATTAACACTTCATCGAAAAGAAGTTTTAAAGGCGCCCAATTACCAAAGGAATGTAGCCGGGCATAATCACTGCCTTCTCTTTAGTAATTATCTGATTCCCAGCACCCGAAAACAACCTTATTTGATAAAACCCAATCGAAACAATCTCCGAACAAACCACTTAAGTTATATTCGTAGGAGAGATGGTGGCGATGTGGTGACGATCTCAAAAAGCTTGTGTAATTTTATTTTGGATTTTCTTGCTATCAATTTTATTCTCCTTTATTTCCCAAATATCTTTTTCTATATCCGTCTGACTCAGATGTCTCTTCGATTCATCTCTCAACTCTTCACGATGCTCCCGACCAGATAATAACATAATTCTTGTAATCCGCTAGGCTGTTGTAAGAACAGTTTCTATCTTGCAATAGTATGTCGCATTTAGATTGAAACAGTACTATTGCCTTCCTTCAGATAGCGCCTCTGCATGATATGTCGGAATTCATCCGTGCTGTGTGCGTACTCATCATTGGGCCCCATGCTTCATTTTAAACTGAAAGCTGGGCTCTTTCATATAATACTGCAAAGTAAAAGCAGCCTTCAGACTGTAGGGCCCTTCCCACATTGCTATCGTGCAGCGAACAATTTGTGCGGTCCTTGACTTCATCATTTAAATGTGGTGCAAGAAATAGTATGATTTGTAAGACAACAAAACACATAAAATTTTACAAAAATAGCTGTGTTTTGTCTATGAAATTCATACACATGGAATGCAGTTATGAACATATTGTTAATAATTGAAAAAAGGTAGATTAGTCGTTCAAAATTATCTACATTGTAGCTGCTACAATTGTCATGCGATAAGTTTTTTCTATAGTAATGGACAACTTAAATTCCAACTGAGAAGCAGTGATCAAGTTTGAGAAAAGTTGTCTCACCTTCCACCAACGACGTCAACAGCGTCACATTAGCCGCCTTGCGTCTTCCCGCCGGCAAACTCAGTCCTATCTTATCCAGCTTCTCTCTCAAACACCGACCGCCGTTTTTGGATTTCGCTCTAGAGACAGGAAAGATGAAAGAACTCTATTAATGAGACATGTGCCGTAAATTAGAGCTACGTAGTCAAATTGTAACATTTTATTGTAATTACTTATTAGATTGTGTGAAAGGCTTTGATCTGGCGAAACCGCATGAAGTGACGCACCTTACCGCACGTCCTCAGGCCATACATATATCGTTCTTAGATCTCTCACATCTAAGGAATCAACCCTTAAGATACAATTAGGAAGTATGAAATCAACACAGTATCAAACGCGAGCGGACTGAATTCAGATGCTCACGTTTCTGTGTCTGGTGTTGGAAAAGACTATTCGGGCTTTTCAATTGCTTTTATTGTTTCCAACTTGGGATGAATGTATTCTTATTTCTTCCATTCTTCAATTCCTTCCACCTTCCTTCGTATCCATTATTGTAGTATCTATCTTGTCATCTGCCTACCAATTGTTGGAGAGAAGAACCTTACACTATTTACATCACATATAAGCTCTTGTGTGAGACCCTAAGGCGAAAGAAAATCTGACGAGCCAGAGGCACAAGATCTTATCAAATGCGAACATGTCGCCACGAAAAGTGGAGGTTATAGAACATTATCAAGTTTAGTAACTGTCGCTGGACAAGACACAGCAATGTACTGAGATAAAAAAATCAACAGATATAGCTCCAAGGCAGATATTATTTAGTTACGCCTTGAACCTTGATGCTTGAAACAGTATTGATTGAATACAAGTTGAATTTTATCTCCTCTAATTTGGGGCTCATATGCCGTGGTGTACAGAGACCACACGTTACCACAATGTAACGCTGATACATTTTATTGCTGTTTTATTAGTTATTACCTTCGCCAAGAAGGTTATGTTTTCAGTAGCGTTTGTCTGTGTGTCTGTGTGTATGTTTGTATGTTTGTTTGTGTGTGGTTTAGCAAGATAACTGGAGGAGAAGTGGATGGATTGAATTGGAACTTGGTAGGTGAGTAGGTCTTCATGAGACCTAGAAATGATGAGATTTTGGGCCCCTTTGGCGGCTTTCCTAGGTACTGCAGCAGAACTTCCGGTTTTGATATCTCGTGATGCGGACATGCTAGGGTCATGAATTTTGGATGGTAGATAGCTCTTGGGATAGGGAAGAAGTGACATGAGTTTGGAGGTTTGATTGTAGATGTAATGGTCGGGACAATAAGTGAAGTCGTAGAAGTCTTACCGAAAAGTGGGATAAATAACCAAAGCTCTTTACCGAAACACACAGATACATACACACTCACACACACACACACTAACACTAACACTAACACACACACACACACACACACACACACACACACACACACACACACATCACACGCAGACGTATCGGTGACTCAAGGACATGTGGACTTTTCTCCCACTGCTATTTCTGTCGCAATAAGCTGGGTGCATTTACAGCGCACGTAAGAAGCCTCTCCGTAAACATAATCCCTTTATTTTCCGATACCCCCGTCAAGCCGTTCCTGCCCTTTGGCAAATGTTTTCTCGATCCACAGCCTTAGATTGGACAAGACGACTGGATTCACGCCCTACGAGAATACGTTTTTTTTTATTGAGACAGCTACGATACTATTAACGTTGGCACCATATAGCAGAGCGACAATTGTAATAATAGAACATTCTGGACATGTCGTTTTTTTGTTGTAGATTTGGTTTATATGACATATTATGTAGACATATTATGTTCAGTATGATATTATTAAGAATACAAGTTGTTTGTGCAATATTGGACCTATGTAACCAGTTGCATGCTCGTTGGATTGAAAATCTCCATTTTACTTTTTCGATGAACATTCTCCCTTTTCGACAAGAATATCGTGATGAAGGACTATTTGGGAAGTGAGTAGTTTTAGATCTGGCTCAGTTTGAGTGAGGACACCAGAGAACATAAGGCGCGGGAGGATTTTGTACCGTCTGTTCATGGACAGAAATAGTTCTTGTATGTTCAGCCTTCAGAAGTGTTGCTATGTTTAGTTACCTCGGCCGGAAACACAGGAAAGCAATGAAAGCAATGAGGACTTTGATGAGAAAAAAATAATTCTTTTGTGGTAATAAAACGCTGTGAAGGTACTTAAAGATATCATAAACTGCTTCAATTTTAAACAAACTAGATATAATCAAACAGAATAATTCCAAGGTCAGCCAAGAAAATTCGCATCTCACCATTATCATTTGAGCTCATGCATATGAGATTAAAACTATAGCTAAAGTCGTTACAATAATCTTATCTATATGATAATATGTTAATCTCCCTAGACATTTGTCATTTTTGTCATGATACCGACAGTTTCCTCATTGTACATGATATATTCAAAATGGAATATCAGAGCAAATGTTACCTATGCAAAACTACATATATAAAAGAAACTGGTGGAGTCATCATACTGTTTAATGTTTTAGTATATTCAGATGAAGCAAGGAGTATGTAAAACATAGCTTTCTATTGGTATCAATGCTCCTTTAGCCTAACTTCCAGCTCTCTTTTATGTCCTATTCTATGATCGATCACATTTCCACACCGGGCCGGGCTGTTTGAATGAATGAAAATAACTAATCCATATCAACAATGTACACAAATAGTAATCATGATTAGTTTTGTTTTAATTGTTGTCTTTTGTCATACTTTTCGTTCCCAGCAACTGCCCGATCGGGCCCCGGGTAGGGAATTGTGACCTTAGCATAACTCGGTGCTCATGAGATAGAACATTTCATGTCTACCTCTCAAATCATGGCACGTCTTGCGACTTGTCTGTTGTAACGTCTGTTCTCCGACCGAACTCTCATGAAATGTAACCCCATATTCTCCGCCCGGCTCCGCGCCTTCTGTCCGCTCCCCTGTCGACCACTGACTTATTCAGAACTCCGGCCTTTGTTGCCGTCTGCCTGATTCCCTCCTGCTTGGTTAATGCTAGGTTCAGCTCTCCGACTTGTCCATGTGAGTTCCCCCTCCGCCCTTTGAACAACTTCCCCCCCTATCAATCTCAATTTTCATAATTTGATGTTTCTGACGGATCGCCCGGGTATGTGATAGTCCCCCACTCACAATCAGAGCCTTTTACAACATGAGGAACATATGGTGCCGCGATGTTTCATCAAGCTTGGGCGTTAGAACAGAAGAGTGCGGTCCATTGGGCCTTAAACGTGCGTGCACTCACAAAGATATGGGCTGGTAATTGAAAACGACGTTTTGAGCTTGAACTGTTATTCTGACTGCTAGAAAAGCAACGAAAATGTCTGTAATATTATAAATTTTTTTAAGTATGCAGAGTCTTTTTCCTGATTTGCAAATACGTTTCAAGAACTTGGAGAAAAAAAGAACTGAATGCCAGATGGGAGATGTCAGTATGATACTTCTCAGAGAATTATTGGCCTACTTGGCGGCTTAGCCTGAAACATCCCCGGGGGAAGTTTCGCCTGGGTCCCCGCCGAGTGCCCGAACTCCGCCCGCTACGGGTCAGGTGGCCTCCCCGCCCGGGCAGGTAGAGAGCTCGGGCTAATGCAGCATGCCCAACCGGCGGTAGGAAAAAACACTTCAGCCCGTGTACGCATGGCTGGGGCTACCAAAGGGCGCCAATGTCTAGCATTTAACTAGTCTACAGAATCTTTAAAAGTTGTGGCCTACATTTTTGGCCTATTTCATTCTAAATATCCCCCAGGTGTGGAGGTATTTTCATCGTTTACCCAGGATTTTGAACGAAAAACACAACACAAAGAGTAGGAATGTGAGAAAAAGGTAAATGGAATTGCAAAAAGGAACTATTAATTTACCACCGGAGAGGGGTAAATCAATATAATGGAATTGAGCCTAATGAAATAGAACTTGCCATCTAAGGGGGAGGGGGTCCGACTTCTGAACGCTGGAAACACATGGAAGGCTTTGCGTCTGAGGGGTTCTCTGTTTGTACTTGTAATGTGAATGTAATGGAAAACTAATGTCTTTCTTTAGCTCAGCTAGCAAATGATTCTACATAAGCTGACATTTTCAGTTTCTGGTAGTTTTTGTTCAAACCGATCTCTACCCTACTACAATTGGTGTTGGTACAGTCTGTCATGAAACTCCCACCCAACCTTGTTGAAACTTGGCTAAATATAAAGGATAACGAGACCGTGATTTTTTGCGGAGGAACGCCCCTCGCTGCCAACCAGGGAGAACCCGATCCAGCAGCGTGGATAAACTTTCCACCATACTGATTCTTGTAAAAACAAATATTAGATCGGTATCGCTGAGGGGAAAGTGTCATCTGCCTGCCCTGCCCCTGGCTAAGAGCTTTCCCACTGATACGCTTCAGGAAGGCGAACGGACCGTTGAAAACGCTTCGCTACTTTGTTATGAAGTTCTTTCCTCTTTGCCATGTTTCCAACAACAAATATCTGTCATTCCGCTCTATGGAACGTGTACGGGTCGCAGCGCATATTGTAGCATGGACACCTCTTCTGAACTCTAACAACTTAGTGGGTAGGTCTGTGCCAACATTTACTTCATTTCACTTAGGCCTATATAGCTACAGTTTAGTATTAGTCACCAAGGTAACCGATATATATATATCACCTGTGTTGCGTGTTGATTCTTACAGACCAAAGGTATAATGCGGCCGACACAACATTAATTCTACATGAAACTTTTACTCTTGGTGAAACTCCGTAAAATGAGCTCGGAACATACATACAGAAAACAAACTCGCGGAAGTGAGTGTGATCACAACAAGACGCATCGACTGTATTTTGTCGGCACTTTAAAGCATATGACCCACCCAAAAACAGCACAATAAGAAACAAAACAAAGGAAGCAAAATGAAATATTTGTCATGCTATCAACCCTTACACTTCCTTCCTCAACAGCAATTGGTAGAAAAAGATAACTTACAGATAAGCAAATAGCAAGAGCACAGTGATTAACAAAATAACAGTTGTAGCTGTTTAAAAAAACAAATATATATATTGAACTTAAAAAAAACACAAATGAAGATTTCAGACCCAGTGTACAACTCACCTTCTGAGCACGCCGCCTAGCAGGGAGGCGTTGAGGCATTCTGGGGGCGACAGTCGGCGCTGCACCTCTGCCACCGTGACCTTGTACTTGGAGGTGGAGGACAGCAGGGACAGGCGACCGGGGACCGAGCAGAACACATCTGTGGGAGAGGTCACCCCGGAGAGCTGCATGTCCTTGTTGTCTCCAACATGGTTATTCTTTGGCCTGATACCAACTTGGGAGGATGAAAAACAAACGTGTTGTCACTGCATTGGTCACCAGTCATGTGTCAATAAACATTTCAACGTTCCTGGTTCTGCATGATCTAACATTTTTATAAGTATGTTATAGGAGTAGATTCCACACTACAGGGCTCATCCACCATGTCTGGTTTAAGTCCCCCTCCCCTTCATTGCCGAGTTTCCGAGAATAAAATCAAATCATCGTTATCATTGCTTAAGGGTCCCTTGCTCCCAATCGGCTTGCTCCCAACCAACAGTATTTCACTTCGGGAGTTTGGGATGATCAAAAAATGAGAGACCAGCTGATAACAGAAAACGAGTTTGGAGTACTGCGGCACATCAGGTGACTAAAGTTCAGACTCCATTGACCCGATCTCTTATAGCTACGCTGTAGACATTTACTTACAATCCATTCAATTGGTCCCCTCCTAAACACCCCCAAACAACGAGGCTTCTGTGGCCATGCCCCCTCCCTTTCAAACTCGGGCTGTACCATCCATCATGCCGCCAATTAATGTCTTACACCCGTACATAGCTCTCCTTGTCCTTCAAAAGTCAGGGGTGGGTGGGTGTAATAGGACGTTAGGGCCAACAAACTTAAACTGACATGCAATATCTTTCATAGATTATTCGGGTTGCCTGGCTTGGCCTTCCTTGCTGGGGCTTACTTTGTCTCGGTCCTTTTCAGTCGTGGTTACTTTAAACTTCACAATTGGGGTTGGGTATGGGATCACAAGGGGACTTGGGCGACACAACTATACACCCGCCACAGTAAAGTAAGCACGACATTCGTCATTGCAAAGTTAAGGTTGAGGGAGACAATGACTGGTCGGCCTCGCGTGGCGCCAGGCCTCGCAGCGCGGCAAGTCAGCACGCCATGCTCCCGCCTGCCTCCACAAAGGGACCCCATCTCCCGCTTTTTGCCTCCCAGCTGTCGCGATCTACGCCATTTTACGCCTGTCGATGTTTGCTAATGCCTTTGCGTGTCAGCGAGTTGGCAGACGTAATGGCCAAGTTTTCCCACATCTTTCCTCAAAGTTGTCGCCAAGTCGACAGAGGTCAGGCAAGAATGGGGCTCGAGTTACGCGAACGCTCGCGGGCTCGGCGAGACGTCCTCGGGGACGTATGACAAGGGGGTCTCTTATATTGATCGCCCACAAGACAGTAATTTCAAGGGATGCCAGGCCAACACATATACCAAAAGTATCGATCCAAGAACCATCTGATAGCGCGTAATGAAGGCATGATTCCTGCCATTAGGGTTTTTGTTGCCGACAGCAAGTTTTTGATTGGAAATTCTGTCCCCGCTGATAAGAAGGAACAACTGAACGTATCCCCCACCGACTGTCCGTTACTTGTCGCTTGACGCAGGTGGACAGGTCTGGAGGGAGCGGCAGATATTAGTTCTTCCCGCGTACCCGGCAGGTTTACATGTTTATGGTTTGACAGGTGTGCTGTTGATGTTCCGGGCAAGGGTGCCTGTTTAATATACAGTTCATACCTTGTACATTCTTTCTCTCGTCGTATCTAACAGCTCATTCTATATAAATATATTTATTCCTTAGCCCTCCTGTCCGATCAACTAAAGTTTCAAACTTGCTCAATGATTTTGTCCTCTTTAACCAAACTTTTCCGAAGTAGCAGTGTTTCAGTTAGATTCGCCATTTTGTATGCAGCAGTCTTTAGTTCCGCTTGGCCATGAATACATGTAGTCTGTTCTCTGCAGTCACCCAACCACTTCGCCATCAAAATAGTCTAATTGTCATTCTAAATTCTTTCTTAAGGTCCGTTTTTTTTAAACCTTCAATTTTGTATACATTTCAGGACTTCTAAGGTCTAAGATTTTCAATAAATGGTTGGTTTTGTTATTCTGGAAGGTAAGGAATGTTTGTGGAAACAGTAAATCTTTTGATCTCCCAGGTCCTCAAGACGACTGAACAGAGAACCTGTCCACGGTGTTGTGCACACGCCGTGTCAACACGCTTGTAACAAACCCGCCTTATTTCCAACAATTTGAAAACTTGTATCGATAACTTGAACACCTAAAATGACGTTTTCTGCAATAAGACAAGGCTCCCGAAGTTTTGAAACGATTTAGACTTTTTTCGACGAACCCATGAAGACTTTAAGAAACAGGTGCAGCGCCATGTGTCGTAGAATCATGTCTACGCGAAGTTGCGCAACGCCCTCGTTGTCGGTGCATAGCTGATTATGACAAGGACAGGAGCGTGAACTTCCCGCAATCTGTCCTTCGTTTGTGCTATTGTATCACGTTTCTGCTTCTTTGCCCTATGGACAAGTTTTAAACTATCAATAAAGACGCCCCGCAACACACACACAAAAATGAAAACACTGTACAGCCGCGGGTGTTAAGTCTATCTGTTTGGGATTTTCCGACCTGTGCAGGTATCGCCTGAAGGTGTGTCAAGTAACCACAGCCCTGCTCAACACAACATGGAGGCCGTGTGTCGTCACAGCTTCCATTTTTGTCTGACGTGATCCTCAAATACAGTTTTGGTTTGTGGGACCCTACATACAGAATATAAACTCCGAGCTGCACAACGGAATATTTGTAGGATCTAGGACTGATACGTCTCGCTATAACTCGTCTCCCTGGAGCCAGATATCTCAATTTTACGACAGAATTGTGTTAGTGACAATAAATTATACACGTGAAACGTCTAAGAACGTAATGAGGCTACAGCACAGCTTGTGTTTTCTTTCAGAAATGTGTTCTTGCAGCCACACTTGCAGCTTTCGTTGGTCTCTGATATTAGACTTCTTTATCTCTTGATGTAGCTGATCAGGTGTAAGCGCCGCCAGCGTGGATAAGTGTAGGTTCAGGGGTGCTCAGTGTAAGTCGGTAGTTCCTGACTAAACCCATAGATTTTACCGGCGCCAATTCAAAAGTCGCCCGAGTTTTACATATTCTAGGGCCGGGGCAGTAGAGAAATTGTGCACTTGATTTAGCGTGCAGCTGAGCCTATATGATTGGGGAAGACTTGCCCGCGGGCGAGCTAGCCTCAGCCCGGAAAATCCCGCCAGTTTCGGCCTCTGGGCTCCCGTGATTAATGCTCACCTCTGGCAAACTCGACACGAAACAAGCAATTGTGATTTGCTTTATCACTCCTTATTCCGTCTGTTGACAAACGTTAGGTTTGATATGTGAGCCCGGAGGATTGGGAGCTCTCCTCCCCTCAAAGCCCGCATGGAGCGATAGTCGGTAAAAAGTGCTGCGGCCTGTCTGTGGGCCACACGGGAGAAGCTATCAGTACCCACCACCAAGGCCACTCTGCAAACCACGACGCCGTTCATTAAAATGTCCGTTCCAGACTGGGCTGTAATCTTCCCGTGCGAGACGAGATCGGCGCGGGTTCTTCCTGGCATGCCGAGCGTTTTTAATTTCTACAAGAGGATATTACCTCTCCGAACGGTAGCGTCGGCACAGAATTGGAAAATGTGGGCATTTTATCGCTCATATTGCAGAGAGATAATTTGTTCTTGTTCCATTTTGTCGCCTGGTGTTATGGGCGCTTTATCCGTAGCACATAGATAGCTGACTCAAATTTAGGGTGTTGCAGTGCAATCTTTTGTGGTGAAATATATCGATGTCGTGCACAATTATCCGTGTAATAGTGTTTGATTTTCCCTATAAAAATACAAATATAATTTTTTTCCTCTAAAAATTGGATGTTTAAGACGTAGGCAGTTTTTTTTTCGAATAGGCGAACTTTCACCTTTCTCGTGCAATATTAATCTCATATTACGGATAGGGGTATAAATGAAACGATGATCACATTATTAAAAATTGATATCTCGGAAGGGCTGATTTCGTATTGTACAGGACAGGACAAAGTGTAAAATCCGCTTGTTTTATTTGGTTAAATATCATAACGTCCATGGCTTGTGAATGTGTAAACTATTTGTGGCGAAAGGGAGGGAAGCCCTCAATATCTCTTTTTTTTTAGTTCAACGACCCCCTTACCATACTGTGTGTTTGCTAGTGTATCTGTTACGTCTGGGTTTCAGACGAACTCTCAAATGTATGCACCTCTTTTGAAACAATACACCAAAAGAAATCCTTGGACCAACAAGTCGTGGACCCAACTCCGCTGGAGCTTGTTAACAGATTATCATAATTGAATTAGCTGGAGAGAGAGTCCGCTTTAAAGTCATTGTGAGAGGGGCTAGCCCTGTATTAAACAGCTACTCCGTACACAAGCTGCTCCCAGCGTCGTGTGGTGTGGTGTCAGGGTGATAGATCGAGCATGGGCGGCCTCCGTTCCACTCCTGTACCGACGCCAGCTTCTTAAATAGCCTGCCGTCCTAACTGTTATGGGAACGCATTCACCCGACAAGCCCGCAACAAGCAAGTTCTCGGAGCAGCCGAATTAAAGGTTCTCCCTCGTCGTCTCGGAGGAGCGGTGTTCGATTTGGGGCTAATGCCTAAAATCACATCGCAAGCTGGGGCCGCCTGGGTTCACATTTCCCCCGGTTTAAGTTTATCTAAACTAATGTAAGGCGAGCTTCGATTTTTGTAAAGTAGGGCAAATCTCTTGCAGGCCCGGAGATCTCGCTGGTGTAAGCGCAGGTAATGTGGTTGGGCCGGGCCGGGTACAAAGTGATTTTGTATCGTAAGACTAAGTGGCGCGCAGGGGTGAGGATTTGGGCAGACGGCCGCGACCAAAGCCACAAGGACGGGATCAGGCATACTGCAGACGACACCGACTACCGTCCTGCTGGCGCGCCTACCCGTGGCAGGTGGTTTTCTAGGAGACTTTTCCTGGAGACGACACTACCCCACTCAAAACGACATTACTCCACAACACCAGATCCAACCTAGCTAGTACAGCACTAAGTTTTAATAGAACACAGTAAAAGGGTTAGTATAAAAAGAATCACCAAAGAACCAAACATAAAATGTGCTTGACACATCCACATATAGTTGAGGCAACACACCTTCCACTGTTCCACAGGTTTTTCCACGATATTCAGATGTTCCAAGCACGTTCCGCCCATACCGTACTAAATACTGAAGTTTGGTTATTCTGTTATAAGGGGATTTCAGCACAATTCCACGTCCACGCTGGCGCAAGGCCAGCAAGGGTCTCGAACAACCGACTTTAAAACATCGAGACGCTAGGGCAACTGAATCAGGGCAACTACGGATACAAGAGACATGGGTACTTGACCATCTGCTTGTTGTTTACCTATCGTTTCTGGCGAGGTCAAAGCGTTTTACACTGTCCACATACAAACCTCATACTTACCACCGACTTCAGAAATCACCCTACAACGTTAGCGTCAGACTATTAGTATAACAAACAACGCTGTAGCGTAGTCCTAGATTTCCGGTGTTTCCAAAGTAACAAAAGTGATCCACGAAAAAACGTAAACAAAACTACCAATGTTTCAGACACCAAACTTCGGTGATTGTGATGTTTATGTAGAGAGGTCTTTTCAAACCTACACTTAACGGTAGGGAAAATCAAAAGGGTTTGTAGAAAGATGCCTGATTTGTGCCGTATTCCCGCTTTCGGAAGGAACAAATGTCATTCACGAAAAGTCAACAAAACTGCCACAGTTTCAGACACCAAACCTCGGTGACTGTAATGTTTATGTGTGCATGTAGAGTATCCTTTCCAAAGCCCTACTTGACGGTAGTTCGAAATAAAAGGGTTAGAGTCTAGAAAGCATCATGGAGTGTGCGTATTCCCTAGCCACAGGGGAGGGTTGTCCCGGGACCTGGGGCGACAAAGGGTGGCGGTACTCAGTCGGAAAATGTGTTTACTAATGGCAGGAGGCACCTGCTGACTAGGCCTGCCCCAGAACAGGTGGATGGAGGGCAGAATCTTTACATTTAATCTTTCCGGATTTAGTTAAACAGTAGTTTTATCAGATTCCCAACAAAGGGAACAATTGGAAAACATGCTTATTATTGCAGCTGTGTTCTTATCTGTTATTTGCAGTTACCATACCTTAGACCTTAGTCCGTCCCATGCAGTTAATATTACAGAAAAACAACTTACCATGTTTACATCCTAAACAACATGTACACATGCGATTCTATCGTAACAGTATTGAAGAAAACGTCTGCAACGCGGCAGCATTTTAGTCGTTCTTTTCATTAATTTTGCTTTCTTTGAAATATTTTCAAGTCAAGGACTTACCTTTCCAAAAAGTAAGATTTAGACACGCTGACAATCAAATCAGCGCATTATAAATCGCTTCATAGAAAAGTTCGGGAATTTTGAAGTGCCATGTAATAGTTTGATGAAATGCCAGCCATTTGATTAATGACAGGTTATCTTCTGTTCATACATAATACAACCTGCTTGCAACCCAGATCAATTTACGTCAGCCCGCGATCGAACCAGACATCGAACGTGATGATGAACGGAATGTCAGCCTTTCTGAACAATTCATGCGCCATTTTGCAGACCCCGTGGTTTTGACATTATCATTACTTTCGTCGCTTGTATTTTGGAGGGCTATAAAATAGTACTCGGCTGTCTGTCACTTTTACATAACGCTCAGTGCCATAAGAATGCATTCAGACTGTGCCCTATAGGTCACTATATAAACTTTGTTTACGCCACCGATGTCAAAAGACACTAAAATATGAAGTCCAGTACAAAAAAAAAACAACAACTGACCTCTTCTGATGACGGAGCTGGTGTTTTCTGCAGGGATGTAGTTCGGCGTGTCGTCCACAGCGCCCTACAAAACGGCCAAGAGACAAGTTTACCCACACAGAACGCCCCGTGTCCTGAATATCGCCTGGCCCCAGCTGCGCCGCCGCTGGACCAGGGCACAGGGCGACACACACAGACCCACACTTATGACTTAGTGCAGACCCAAAAAATAATGGAATAATTTAAGACTTCATTTCTTCCCCACAGGAGCCCAGGCGATAATGGTGAATAATTTCTCGGTGCGAGAGTCGGGTCGACCCGAGGAGCATACAGATGAGCCTCGGTGAATAAAGGACTCCGTCAGGTATGTCAAGGTGGGGGTAGGTTTGGGCTCTCGCCTTTAAATTCAGCAGCAGCGGTCCCTCAACACACGAGCACAGGCCGCAAACCATGATAAATGGATGTTGTAACAGAGCTAATCTACCAGGGATCATTAAAACGATACATCACCCCTTTATCATCATCATGTCCGATCAAAAATGAATCACAAGCTAAAAGATGTATCAGGGGAGAATGGATATTGCGGCGGGCCTAATAACGGCGGCTACACAGACTTAAGTACAAGGGCGGACACTTTCGTCGCCTCGCTATGTATCACTAGAATAAGCAAAAATGTTTGAGTGGGAAAAAACAAGTAATGTGGTATCGACTTCTGAGAAAATATGTGACACCTTTGTTATCTATCTACATGCATAGAAATAGAGGGGAGGGATATTAGTCTGCTAAAACTAGCTAACAGTTCCACGAGAAAACGTCACCATGACATACCGTTAATGAAATCAGATTAATACACCATGCAGAATGTTTGTTTTTAGAGGAGAATGATGTACGATGTTTTCTCTATGAAGTGTGATTAATTTTGACAAGGGAAAGAATAGGCAGAGGTTAAATATTTTTGTACCTCTGCATCTGTGTCTCTCCAAGTTTTCAGACTGCGAAACTCTTGCTGAAAGTTAAAAGAATTTTTCGTAAAGTCTTTTGTCAGCCTGGGTACATCACATTTGGTCGAACGCCTGTTTTATAGGCCACTTTACAATGCAGAAGGAGGGGCGAATACGTGTTCCCTTCAATTACATGGTTGAAGTGGACCGACAATACTTATATCTACAGGGGACAGGCATGAAATGAAGTCTGAATACATGTTTACTTTATGTGGGCAGTATCGGTTACACCATCTACTTTACACGGGCAAAATTGGTTTAAACTGTGACAAACTGAAGCCTGAGCGCATCGCATCTGTGGAATACGCTTGTGCTTGAAGTTGGGGATAAAAGGTTTAGGTTGCACTGAAAGGTTTTTCCAACATTTGACGGTAATCAGAAAGCCGTGGGATCACCCCTGGGACAGTTCCCCTGCGAGCCGCCCTCCCTCCGCACGCCTGCTGTTCATTTGTTCGTTACACCCTACCATCTTGTTTATCAATTTTACCCCATAATATTCCCCTTTCCCTATTTCCTGGACGACTGCGAGGTTGTTTACGGCCCGACTTGTCCATTTATTTTGGTTCGGGTCACCTCCTGTCCGTCCCCGCTCCCATTTTAGCTCTGCTCCGGTACGAACCCAGAGCTAAGAGAGCAGAAAGTGTTAAACTCACTGGAAAATTAAATCGATGGTTTTGAGCCGGGGAATAAAGCACTGATTAATATTCGGTCTCGCCACAAGCTCCCGGTACCTTAACAAACAACGTTAGCTCGTCAGTGTGTCTGTCAGAAATCACATGTTCTTGCCATTCGAACGTGTAACAAGATACATACGTGAACAGTGTCAAAATTTCCTCAGAAATGGAAACATTTAAATGCAAATTCTTAGCACAGGTGGTACCGTGACATAAAGGTTATGTTCATTTTATCAACGAACATTATAATATATATGGCTTTCCAAGAAGAACTTGTTGAACGTTCATATTTACGACAATTGACTAATTGTAGATCTCAAAGAAAGAAAGAAAGAATTATATATATACTGGAGACACAACAGTTTACACAAAACTATTCCAAATATTCTGGGATCCTGAAACTTGAGATACATATGGTCGAGGTAATTTCTGTGTGTGTAGCAGGCGTCCTTTGTTCGCTATTCTTCCCGCCCAATTACAACCAACCGTAACACAGAACAGCAGCATTCAATAGAAGGACTCCGATCTGCCTTAATTCTTTTGTCTGTGCGTTTTGTTTTACCGGTCTTACAAGTTTTCTGTCCATACCTTGTGCCGGGTTATCCGCCCCCTTGAGCCCGGGAGGCCTAAGAGAGGGGGGACTCAATTAAACCAAATCAATGCCTTTGTCTTGACAAACATTCCTCTTTGATTCCTACATGAAATTTGAAACCATCAACAACGTGACGCGCTAGCCTATCCCAAGGAATTATTTCTTTTTGTTTCACACTCATTAAAATTTCTGAGATGTGGCTATCAGCTGTGTTGAAGCCCGTCTGTTTGTTGTTAGCGATCCCGTGTTAGAAAACACCGGACAGGTAGAGGTTACCCCGCTGACAGACGGGCGGGAGGGACCCGGGATGTGTCAGGCCAGGGGGAGGGCTTGTTCAACTCAAGGAGAGGTCTCCTCACCGTTTAAATCTTCAACAGTTTCAGTTGTGTCATGTATTTCTTTAGCAGTTAATGTCTTGTGGGTGCTGTAGAAATGTTGGTGGTAACTTACGATATAATTCGCCTGGGCGCCGATCATAGGGACTAATCTTGGATTTGTCTGAAAAGATAAGCCGAAGAGAAACGCGTTACTGGACTTAGCAATGCAATTTACCACCGGTTCCTCAATTCAATCACGTTTAAACAACTCCCTTGGCCACAAAAACACACAGAAAGGGGCTTACAAGGATTGACTTTTCATTTCATTCCCAAATCAATAATCATGTTGTATCGGTTTGGAAAGGAATGAGAGGCCACAATGACATTAGAACAACTATTTTGTTCCAGATGCCCACATACACACAACATACTAAGTATTTATATGAGAATGTAACATTTTATGGCAGGGTTTAAAAACGATACGAGGTTACGGCTACTAGAAGACCTTCACATGTTGCCGTTTGTTTTGACAATAGGGTTGTTTCTTTTGTTTGAGCACACCTACTCAAAAGACAATGGCCAACACGTCTGTAATAATGTGCTTAAATCGTCCCACTCAACCACAGTGTTGGGAAAAGGCTTGCAGTTTTTCCTGAGGCAACAACTCGCCCGCGTGCGGCCACATCTTACTCTGTATTTAACTTGCTTGGCAACGTGAACATTTGAGTCGATCAGGGCCGGACCCGCGGGCACAAAAACAGTTTATTGACAATGCCACTGTACTGATCATGGGGGTATTCCCGGCCTAAAGCTAGCCACGGGCAGAACGCATGGTGGCGGGGTCCTGCTTGACAAAGTAGTGTATATGTACATTGTTACTATACTTGTGCCGGATGAAAATTCAGTTATTCCACTGTAAGTAAATTCCCTTCATAACGCTATGATCTAGAAATTTTCCTCCCAAACAGATTAACAGCCCATTTTGCCCCCTAATATAATATAGACAGATATGATGAGATTGTAAGGTCTGATTGACCAAAAATGTAAGTTAGGGGGCTTGCGTTTTCGACATTCTTTCCCTGTGGACGGATCGACTCGGGTGTTTTGTAGGAAATCCCATTTACCAGCTGACTAGAGCGCTACAAGGTTCAGAAGCACAGCCACCTCCATGGCAAATTATCATAAATTATATTTCCTCTACCGAAAGGCCTGCAAAATGTACAAAGAAACCCCATGTACTCGCAATGGGTGGTTTTCAAAGAGCGCCCGACTCTAATGTAATTTAGCGAGGTCTTTCTTCTGGGCTTTGCTCCAATTTGTGATGCATATGCTCTGGATATGAGAGTTCCTAGCTTGGAAATAGTCATAGAAACTGCTTTTTTCTCTATATATAATTCCTAAACAAAGCGCAAAATGAATACGTCCAATGTTCTTCCAAACTTCCTAATTTTATCCGATCATATTTGAAGCACAGGAAATTGTCTAAGAGAGGAGAACATGTATTGAAAATTACACAATCACATACGGGCGAGACGGGCTGAGTATTAAACAGAATTGTCTAACTACTAAATTACAGTGGAGGTAAGGAAGGCCACAAAGAGCTTTATTGGTGTCAATGGACGGATATATGTCGGCGGGCCCGACAGTTGTAGTGACTCCATATGGCTTCCTGGTGTTTGATAGACACGCAGGAACAATACTCCAGGATCAAGAACTGGTACTAGTGGTAGCAGATCGTATTTCCTGCCGACTTCAGCCCAGGAGTAACGGGCGATAGCTATCGTAGGTTTTATAAACGTGCATAACACTCTACATACATCTTGAAATGTGGAACTGTGCTAAGATACCATGCATGGCGACACAAATGAAATATTGGAGGAATTAATAGCCATTTCATACACTTAGCAGCCCCAAAACGTGCCAATTTTGCTTGGCGTATTGTTAAATGATACGCTGAGTGCAGCTCTTCAACACATTAATTAACACTTATAGCACGACATGGATCGTTGTCTTTCAAATTGCCTATAAAATTTATTCCAGGAGAATAGGATACCACATGCATAGCACTTTTGTCGTGCGACACACTGTGAGTTTGCTGCATAAATCCTTCAGATGATAGAAAGACGGGATTTGGAGTTGGGATAACTGACCTTAATGGTTTCGGAGAAACTGATACCAAAGTGTTTACATACGCCATGCAGTACAGACACTCCAAACATCAGAGGTGATATATAGCACTTTGTACTTTACATGCTGATGGTTTATATAAAATAGAAACTTACTATGATGGTCTCTGGCCTGCGCATGGGGTAGGAGTCGAGATCTGGCCGGCGGTCGAAGCTCGGTGTCATTTGTGGGATGATGCCGGGGTGGAAGTTGTGCTGGAGGTGTTGTTCGTCCTCGCGGTGCCTGAGGACGGGCTGCGGCGGGCGCTGCTGGTGCAGCTGGGGGTACTGCTGGTGCTGGGAGTGGTGCAGGCTGTTCAGGTGCGAGTAGGGGTCGGCGTTCATCGGGTGGTGGAAATCGTGCTGCGTCTGCTGCGGGGGAAGGTTGTAGGGAGGGGGGAAGTAGGGCGGCTGAAAGTCCGTGGTCGGTGTGTGCGACAGGCGCGGCGGCGAGGAGAAGGACGCCGTGCTGCTGGACGAGATGGTGCCGAGGGGCGTGAGGTTAGGCCGGGGGCCCATCAGGTCCGAGCGTTCCTGGGGAGGGGAAGAATGGAGACAGACATGTTAGACATGGAATCACAGACACCGGCAGCCGCCCCATTCTGGCAACACCACCACAGCGTTGTGCGTTACCGTCCCGCCATACAGCCCTGACGTGCCACAAATCTACACCACATGGACCCGTACGGATTCTCTACCCTAACACCCGCGCGTGTTACGATTCCAAAAAACGACCTTACCCCGTAATTCGGCGAAAATTGGCTACAAAAGCCCTGTGAAACCTCGTGCGGGTCAGGCGAACTGAATACCGGCTGAGATTGGACTTGCATGAAGCGGTGGGGAGTATGAGCTAGCCAAGCATGAAGTAGTGTATAGTCCGACTCCTCAGGATGCCAGACCTACATTTACACGTAAATAAAAGCGCCTACAGCAGACAGGGGGAAGCGCCGAATCATAACATTCAAAATCGCGCCAAAAACTAACTCGTAAAAACGGAATAAGGCTTTCGGGCCGGAGGGTGAGAAAAGGAGAAACACCTCGGGGGTATTGGCGTCGATGAGACCGAAAGCTGAAGGCATGTCGTTTCCGCGTTTGCTTGCTGGGGTTGCTTCGTCAGGACTGCCTGGCCGTTTGCGCTTTCCACCGGGCGACGTGTGGGCCAATGGGCTCAATTGAGCCATAATTAATAGCGCTGTTCAAACCCCCTCAAGACTGAGTTGAGAGGTGAAGTTGAATCACTCATCCAGGCAGCTTCTTCTTGTGAAGGGTGTCTCGACAAGCTGTGACAACAACTTGTACCAACTGTCGTGCAGATGATGTCACAGGGTTGTCCCCTCCCCACACAACTTGTCGTCCCTACACGCTTTTGTCCCCTTGTGTCACGGCGCCAACACAACAAGCTAGAGGCTACAGCCGGCGGCGGACTGAACAGGCGGCAATGTCTTGCAGGCAAATTTTTCTCCTACAGGAAGTTCAGTCCCGGCGTGAAGCCACTGCACATTCGGAGGTCATGCTTGTTGGAAGGATTTGGTGTTATTGGCGGCACTTTTCTTCCGAGCGGCGCTTGTTTGTGTTGTCTTAAGCCCCGCCTTCTCGTTGTCTGTATTCTCTTTATAACACGACGGGGGAATTGACTGGCATCCGTCCACCTAGCGTAATTAGCTGGGTGTCGCGGGGTACGTGGTCATTAGCTGGAGGGGACACGGTGTGCCATTGGCTGGGGCGCGGGGGGTCGCCGGGACAGGTCACATGGACCACCCGACCAATATGATAAATGACCCCTCCGCCATGACATGGAGGCCCCCAAAAAACTGCCGACCAATCAGATGGCGCCTTAGTACGCCTGGGTGGAGGCTTCTGATCGAATGTTTGTTACGCCTGGAGTCATTAGTTGGTGGGCGTAACCAATCTGTGGAGAGAAGTTTGTGTACATGTTTACCTGTGCAAGACAGACCACAACGCACCGGGAAAACAAGTCTGACAACATGTCTGCGCACAGTACGCTTCAGTAGTTACATCTGCACACAATGGCACAGTTCTCCTCTCCACCGCGCCAAATTCAACGGCAACACTTTTACATGAAAGACAATCCCACAATACCAATTAGACTTTAATAACGCGGGATAAACTTATCACATTAATCATACTTTCTGTAAGACCTCTAGAAACAACCACGGATATAGCATTGCAGCCACGCATGTCACCGTCAACTTTAAGTCTCTCGCTCTCATTGTTTCTGAAGATCTGTACAGGCAGACGTCACACACGTCTGATCAGTATCTTCCTAATTAAAAGTGGAAAGTTCCCTCCGAAATCAGGACGGTCAACCAAAAAATTGGGACCATACTTCTCTCTCCGCGGAAACACGTGTGGCCACTTGACGCACGGCGCAACAGTAGCCTTGTTTTAATTTAGCCCGGTTACTTCTGTGGTAGAATTACTTCCCGTGAGGACGTAGCGGGGTCTCGCGGTCTTGACACAGTATCCCGCTCTTTGACAACCGAAGCATGCCAGTTTTCCTCATATGTGGCCACTTAAGAGCAAAACCTTTCATTTCATGGCCCAGACTCTCGGACATCCAACTACGCTGATTGTCCATGAACAAGTTACACATCCTTATAAAGGTATCTATTCCAAATGAAAATAATTGCATGAGGGAAATGGATATTGTTAAGTTTGAAGAAAAGCAAAATATGATGTATGTGATTAAAAAAATCATTTCCGTGACACTCATTTTCAATGATATTAAAAGATGGTAGAAATGGCTATGGGAACATAAGACTTTGCAAAACTAGGAAAAATTGGGTCTGTCGGAGATGCATGCTGCTTGTGTAACGGTCTGGGAGCTCAGGCCGAACGGTGATAACCCCGACCTTCCCGGGGTGAAACCGATACGGGAGTAGGGTAGCTTTCCCGCGGAAATTGTCTCCGTCGAGCGCTAACGGGATTAAGTTTAAAAGCATTACATCCTCTGGAGGCTCTCCCCGCTAACACCACAACACTGCGAGCTAAGCGAGCCCCAAACTCCCGTAAGTCGTCTAAATAGTTTGACTGGCATCGTTGGCAGTTCGCAGACCGCGATCGCAGCTGGAAAATTTGGCGCGCACGTGAAAACAGAAGCCCGTTCACACGAGCACGGATTTACGGTAACCTTTCCAGGAGCTATTATAGGAACACCTTCACGACTCCACGGTTTTAGCATTGTACAAGGGGATTGGTACACGGCCATGGGAACACCGCTTTAGTCACGCTTACAATGCGACCAGGTACTCTAATATCTTTGGTAAAGCTAACACATCTGTTGATTTGAGATGACAACAAGCGAGAAAATATTGATTTTCACAATCACACAGACATTTAATGAAAAAATAATAGTTATTACAAAAGATTTTGCTCCGTACATCAAAAGTCTCTCTTACTAATGATTGACATCTTCCCTAGATATTCGGAGATGATACCAAGTCAGTCAAGGTAGTCAGTTGGTTATAGTATGAACAGAATAAATCAGTTCAAATGAGTAACATGAGTTACTATTTAGAAACAAAACAAAGGAACATTTTTTATGTACATATATGCTTGTTCACATTGACAAGGATAAGGAGAACGGGGGTTAAGATGCAAACTTACACTTACATGTAAAATTATTTCACAAACTCGTCTCAGTTTAAATTTGTCTCCGCTTTGACAATGATAAAAAAGAGAAACGTCCATCCCTATGGTCTGTTATGTAGTTTAGGACATATCCCTGTCAGTTCTAACAGTGTCAGGTCATCATCCTACACCTTTAAGAGTGATTGAGAGTGATCCGTGATGTCTCCCGCCTCACCTGTGTGCCCTACTCTGTCTTCGCCTGGTCTACGGTGTCGCCGTCTGGTCACCCTGGTCATTATAGCACTTGTACCTGGATTAGGGCTATATTATATCTGTATAAAGGTCGTAAGGGGGCGTGCTGGTCCGAAATATGATCAGCTGGGATTCCACTTCAACCTGGTGAAGTCACCTGTCCTTCATTTTGTTTTTAAACCCTTTAGCTGAACAAAATGAGAATTATTGCCGATTCAACAAATAGCTCGGCCACATTCGTACTTGCATGTCTTACGACTGAGGTGCCGTAGAATTTTCAAGCGAGCTATGACAGAGCCGACTGCTGATAGGATATATGACAGCCTTTTCCGCAAGAAGACAGCTAAATTTTGCAGGACACATGCACAGCTGTCCCAAGTATGTCCTTTGCCCTTTTCCTACGACCATCGTACGACGTATATGTGACAAGGCCTTCTTTATTGTCACGGTTGATTTTTTCACCTGTCATCACATTGGTCGGCACTGAAAGTACCCATTTCTAAATCGTAACATCAACTTCGCTCTCCCGCCAAAGTGATGTAAACGGACAGCCCAGAGGTGAAATAGCCTGGGTGCCAGGCAGTTGCAAGGGCAAGTAAACAGGCAAGCTCCTTGGCTCCAGGGCTAACAGTAGAATTCTGTCCCCGAATAATTCTTTATTACAGAAACCTCTCTGGCACATGTACCGCCCCTCACAACAGCCTGGGATACAGACTAGAGAAGACGGTGCCGTCCAGGACTGCCCATCCTCGCCCAGTGTGACAGAGTTTGCACCTGCCCGCCCTAATCTCTCACCATCTCGTCCGATCCACATCCAAACTACAGACTCTGCTATCTCCGCCGGCGGATCACATACAACACATCATCTGTGCCGCGGACTGCGTCTTATCTACCGGAGAGATCTCCTGATCCCAGCAGACATCTTCTTCTTTAGAAGATATTCAGTACAGACAACATCGTTTTCTAGAGTCCAGTCTACTCGTTTCTTCGTGAGCTTACGTAATTACCGGCTTTGTCTTCACGCACTTATGTCACAATTGTTTACAAATTTGGAAGACAGCGGCTCTTCGATAGGATCAGGTGTCAAAATCGTACCTGTTGAAGAATGTAATGTAATCATCTTAAACTATGAGTTTAATTACTGATAGAGATTCTATCTTGTTTTTTTTAAATGACCATTACCAAGAAAATCATTTCAACTTCATATTCTAATGCTAAAAGTATTCTTATTTTTGTCTCCTTTTCTGAGGTCAACTGGCTTTGAGTTCCCCCAACCCGCCACGGCCCCACCCATCAAACGTATTTCAGGCACTATTTTTTTGTACCAACAAGTCCATTATGGGTTGAGGATTTTCTTTATTTTTTTTTATATATCAGGAAGATACATAATAAATGTGATGTTGTTTTTTGTAAAATTTGGGAAACGTGTTTGAATGTTTTTATTTATCACCATACAAAGTAGATGAAAACATCAATTACCTAAAAGGTACTAGAGCGGTGACCCTGAGCTCACCCCCTCCCCCAAACACCCAGCCATGTTTTGTGAGCAACCCCCTCTTCCTCTCATTCAACCGCCACCTGTTCGTTGTGATTATATTGCAGTTGTCATTTAGACGGAATCGTCCTTGTGCGAATAGCTGGCTGAGTTTCCGCTCGCCAGCAGTCAATTAAGGTCGCCTTCTTGTTCGATTAGTGGCGACGTGGTACAAAGTTCAAAGTTGATCGTTGAGAGGGTGTTCAAACTTGGTCGTCACTGGTCGCTATATGTTATTACGTTGAGAACAAACCAGCCATTGACTGCAATGCTCAACTGTCTGTGTGTCCTCTGCAGTTTCAATATCAAGAAGGCTTTTGGAAACTTGAACGCCAATGTGTCTGATCGCGAACTCGTCAACCAGCATATAAAATATTGATATTGATATGGGAAGAATCACGAATCTCCGATTAAACTTCAAAGTCACTTTGCACTTAGAAAACAGGGTACAATACACATGTAGTTCGTATACGAGATATAGATATGTATATTTAGAATGCTCCAAAAGTTGTTCAAATGTTACTTACGAAAATGAAATTCGAAGATGGAAGTTGATTATTAATATAGAGAAAAATGCTGAAAAAATTCAAAGACTTCGTTGGAATAGATAACATCAACGTAACTGTACTGTGAAAAGTCTATCTTGCTGTATGATTTTCGTTCATCGACTGCCAACAAGTTTATACATTATCACAATATGTCGGTAGCTGATAGACGATGTGGACTGTTAGGGTTTTAGCCTGAAAAAGTCAAACATGCTACCTGCAAAAGAGAAGGGAGAAGCATCCCGTTCCAGTATCACTGTGATGTTATACTCCACCAAACGTTCTATATTTCAAGGTCTCGATTAATCTATGTTTCTTTGATGATGATCACACAGCTTCCCTTAAACTTTGTGCTTCGTTACTCGGTCTGGGGAGCCCGAAATTAGAAACACAAGAAAAACCTTGGGCGTGCTGACTTAATCGGGATTCGGGCGGATATTGGTTTGAAAATATCCACACACACTGTGGTAACAGTATGTTTTTAAAAGGCACAAGATGAGAGTGCCGCTGAATCTGTGGAAAACAAGCGATCGATTGGAGCAAGGGGTCCACACTAAGCACACGGTGGAAAAAGTAGCGGGGTTTCGTATCTTTCCGCCCTGTTTCTCCTGTCATATTTCAGGGCAGGTGACCCGAATTCTTGACGTGAGATAAG